TCTGAGACACCGCAGTTTTTGAGGACGAAAGTAAACTCAAACTGTTTAGATCAGATGCTATGTTACGTAGCACTGCAAAACATGGTGGAGGACATGTAATGGTATGGGGACAAATGTCATCTTGGAAGCTTAGATTTCATCAATAGTACTATGGATAATACTATGTATTTGGTCACTTTAAAAAGAAATTTGTTGCAAAGTGCATAGTAATTAAATATTCGTGACAAGTTTCGGTACTATGAAGACAATGATCCGAAACGCAAATCAGGCGTTGTGCAAAGTTGGCTTATTTTGGACTGTCCGCACTGCCCCAGATTTGAATGTGATCGAGAATCTGAAGTCAGTTTTGTATTTGCATCATTTCCTGTGAGGTACAATTTAGTAGTGAAGTTTGTTTATGTTTTGTAATTACATAAAATAAAAATAAAATATAAAATTTTCAAAGCATAAATGAAATGTGTATATCTGCGGCTATTAACTGGCATTTGTACTTTTTGGAAAATTTTTAAATGAAACTCATTATACTATTTCTTACATAGCTGCATCACTTTGGTAGTGAGCAACTGTACGTCGCCACTGCCCCTTATGGTGTGGTATTCATTTTCATCTTCGCCCAAGGTTTGTGTTTCTTTTTTGCGCATACATTGTTCTACTAGAGCCTTCAACACACTTTGAGGAGCTTCGATGTTGTGGGCCATGTAGCATAAGGCTAGAATGATGACACCATCTTTCCCCTGCTCAATGGCCATTACCGCCATGCCCTCAGTCCTGAAATTGGACACAAGATATGAGTAAAATGTCTTTCTTACCATTACCGCAGCTCTCAACTTTCCTTCTCATTCCATATAAAATTCAGTGAAGTGCAGTCTTAAGTCCAAAAACTTTCCCGCTGCCTATCAGCCATGGTTCGTCTAAATACTCTTCCTCTAGAGTTAGAAGAAGTTCCCTCGATGCCATATTGTTATGCTGCAGATTTATCTGGAGAGCCTTCAACATTTTAAGGGTGACCATCGACAGCATCCTCTGTCGGTGCTGTCGAGGTTGAAACATCTATGGGGTTTATTTCAGCTGTTTTCAGGTCATTAAGTGTTAAACCAAGGTCCTTCTCGCTTCTATCGTAGTCGTCTTTCGGATTCCTCTGCTTAAGGCGGAGGAAATCACTGCCTATGCCGTACGACATCTAGCCATGTTCTGGGTACAGCAAATTTTCCACCCCTTTGTTGATTTGGAGGATATTGCTCTGACCCTATTCCGGTGGCTTGGAAATGTGAGGTACCTTCCAATACCGCGAAGGTATATTCGGGTTCTCTGCCTGCAGCGATTGCATAGCATCCTCCGACTTCACCGCATACGCGATCCATACTTTAGCAGTCGGGATCGCAGGGATTAAGACCTTTCGGATTGACTGCGGTAAAGTGCTCGTCCCAAACTGTGTCCTACCCAGACGCTCTCCCTCACGTGAAGACAGGTCCGCCACCACACCTAGGCCTTGCGATATTCCTAGTGTCACCTTGTAAATTGACATGCCTTTCTTGTTGTCTCTGTTTCTCTCCCTTTTGTTCACGACCTCGGTCTCCTTTCTAGGACGGAGTCGTCGCTGACTACCTTTAGCCTGGGGAATCTAGTGGACGTCCTCCTGACTTCCGTCTTTTCCTTTTTATTTTTGTTGATGCTGTTGTTGTTTTGCTAATTTTGTTCATACGACACCTGAAGTCATTGTTTTCCAGCTTATTGGTAATTCAGCTAAGGACCCCACCACGTCAACACGGAACACGGAACACTTTAATTTCGCTTTTAATAATACCCAATAACATTTAAAACGATTTTATTTAATTTATATATAAGTCCGGCCGAAGGCTCCAAACTTTTAAAAAAGTTTCACTTAAGAACATAGTGCAAGTCGAAGCCGGTGTTGGTCCGGCCCAGGGTTTTTTTTTAAGTCCGGCCGAAGAACTATAACTTACAAACGTGTTTCGGCCCAGGGTAATTTTTTTAAATCCGTAAAAAAGTAACAATTCAAATAACAAATGAACGTTGTAAAGAAACATACTGATAACATGTTAAGCAACAGCTGCTCGTCTTGCAGGGTGTATTTTGATTTTATGTAAATCACTTATCAAAAATAAATTGGATTGTATGTTCGTTTAACATTCATTCATTTAACAATCATTCCAATATATGAACTTACTCTTGCCGTGTGGTAGCACGGGTTTCGCTGATTGTTTACTAAACTAAAGAAACGTGAGAATACATTGTTTATGTGTAAAAATAATGAAAAATATTAATGTTTTGCTAAAACTAATTAAATAAAATCGTTTTAAGCGTTATTGGGCGTTATTATAAGCGATACATAAGTGTTCCATGTGACTTTATAAGCCTTTGTTAGGGAAATTCGGTTGGTCAAAATTCTAACTTTAATAACAAATTACTCGAAAACTATGAGTTACCTCAGGAGACCACATATATTTATTTTTGTGATGTGTATGACCTCCTCTAATCCCCCCACAAGGAAATTTCTTCCAAAGCCTGGCACACTATTGCGAAATTTTCGAAGTTTTATAGTTTTTTTGAGAATATATTATTTGGAAAATATAATATTTTTATCAACTTTATTTAGTAATTGGAGTTTTCCAAAAAAAAAAAATAAGTGGCTTATAGCCTATTTCCACCGGACGTTAAATGCATTTTAGCTTAAATGTATTTAAACATCGCATTTAAATGCGGTAATTCCCATGTGTTTGTTGCTGTATAAAAGTGTGTTAACTCACTTTTCAAAGTGAGTTAACTCACTTTCGGCAATTTAACAGAAAATGTTATGTTAACATTCGATGCTGTCACTAATGATGTAATCATTTCGGAAGTTTCGGTGTACTTCTTGCCAGAGTCGTGTATTTTCGGATTTAATGAGGGGCGAGATTTTTATTTTGCATGGTGAAATTTTTTGTATAAAAATTCCTTTTTTGCATTAGTTTTAACATAAATGCCTATATTAAGTAATTGGCGAAGAGAATGCTTCTCCACCTTTAAAAAAAAAAACTATAAGAAACAAACAAAAAACAATTGTGAAATATCAAACGATCCCCTCAACATAAAAATATACGTGGCTCTGGTAGCTATCAGCTGATTGCGCAAAACAAATAATTTGAGGGAACAAACAAACAAATATGAAAATGGAAACATGCATAAAAGCATTTTCGTTTCAGCAACGTTTGTCCGTGCAGAAATAATCTGCACTTGCAAGTCTTAAGATTGCAGAAATAGCCAAATAAAATGAATGCGGTCTTTTGAATTCATGATTTCTATAGTTGTGGCAAATTTTGTAAACTGCAGATGTAAACAAAAATCAGCTGTTTGAGTTAACTCACTTTCGGTGGAAACGTTTGACATTTCATTTACTTAACAGAGGCCTTAAATGCATTTAAGTGCTTGGTGGAAATAGGCTATTATCCGGTGATTTGGTCGCTTGAGGACATTTTTCTAGTTGGAATTAGAAATAAACAATTTCCTTGGAAAATTAAAAAATTGTTGACTTCGAAAATTGAGATTTTTTAAATATAAATCGTGGTATAAAATGGAAGGTTAACGATAACAAAAGACATAAGTACAAAAACTAATATTGTTTCCTAATTTTTCTTTATTTGCTGTTTATTGTATGCACCGGCACGCTCTGTTGTATTTTTTGGTTCTTCGAGCCGGATTTTTAACAAATTTTGTATATCAGCACCAAACTCTACTACATTGGACTATTCATCAAACTCCACATTATAAAACCAGACAATTGGTGACCTTTCAGGTGCTAAAGTCGCAACCACTATCAGAAGCGCCTGGATAATCACGGAACTATTTACCAAACACTACAACATTGGTCTATTCATTATTTATTGGTCCAACTCCACACCGTACATATAACCGGATAATTAATTATCTGATACCTGCTACATACACCAATCATTATCACAATTCATAACATAAATCACCGTCTGTACGGTCACTGAAATAAGGTACGTGGTGAAATCTTATGTTTTCTTGCTCAAACAAAATAATTAAAATAAATCTTAAAAAAAATAATAGCGAGTTTGTGTAAAGTCCATTTATCTATTGCATTTGCGGTGCATTTTAATAAAGTGTAAATATTTTTAAAAACAGCAGCACTGCACTATTAGCTGTTGTCAAACTTCGGTAATCTTACTTTTCAGTTAACTCCAATTCCAATCATTTGTTGTATTGAAGTTCATATCATTTTTCACTAGCACTGCACATTGTAGGAATTACCTGTTTTAAATTAATAAAAACAACTAAAATTCGTGCATTGATATTTTTTCTTTTCTTTATTTTTGGTGCTGCACATTATAATTTGTTACATCTTGTTGTTGTTGTCCCATATCATTATTTTCACCTTTTGTTGCTGTTGCACATTATTACTGTTTGTCGCTGTTGCTCATCATCCCTTCGTCGTGGCACATTTGCATTAAGTTGTAACCTTTCCAATATTTGAGAGGATAGAGGTGTCAACGTTCACATAACAATTTTTATTGGATTTTTTTACACAATCTCACTCTCAATATAATAAAACAAAAACGTTAATTTTGAATAAAATAAATATCACGTATTTTTATCATTAAATTCTCGGCATATATTGGTATTCATCTCCTTATTAGACAGTTGGGTGGCGAGCATATCATCCATCAAAGCTTATATATTTAGCTGTATAATAATTATTTAATAAAAATAAATATATATATTTACCTACAAACCACTGACATATACATATAAAAAATTCAGTTCTTTCTTTTATATTGGTGTGGCGGTTTTGGGAGATTTGTGTATTTTTTTGGTGTGAAGTAAAATTCCTTCGTTTTCTCCGTTAACTCTGATTACATATATAATAGATGTCACACGAGTTGTGACATAACTAAAACGCTTACAACAGAAAAATTGTATCCGTTTAGTATAGTTAGAGTTGAAGTTCGAAATCGATTTCAATAATGCTTCTGTTTCAGAGCATTCCAAACAGTCTTTACCGGTAGAACAAGAGGAGCTGAAGGCGCTATGGGGGAAAACTAAATCTGTCATTGAGAGGAAGGTGTGTACCGAGAGCATCCCTCCAAAAGAGGTGGAAGCAATCATAAAGAACACTAGTTAAGTCAGATGCATTTCAGCAAAGGCCGATATGGCCGAAAAGTTGACCAAAACGGGAAAGGAAAGGGAAAAGCTTTCCGAATTCATCATGTTAATTTGCCACCGTGTGGTACGGCACATGTTTAAGGTCATCGGTTCAAAAACTCTTCCATCTAAATCAAAAAACGCAAGCGGAAGCAAAGGGCATAGTAGCAAATGCGACAATAAACGTATTCTCGTTAATACATAATTAAAAATTCTTTTTAGCCTTAATTCAGTCGAAACTGATTGCGGTAGTTCTGTAAAGAAATTACAAAGGGAATTTAATAAATGTTTGTCATTCTGCAAAAATCATCAAGATGACATCTTAAACTGGAACGCGACAGCCCTAACCTTGGCCAACAAACGCTTATTTATGAATGAACAACTTTATTCTTGGAGGAGATATATATCTGGATGGAATAAAGAAGAATGCTTCTTTGCACGCTGCTAGTACAATAAACAGTTTGTAGATTAATAATAAAATGCAATGCTTGTACGCTTCATCCAACTACAAATTAAGTATTTTTTTTCAGTGAAGTTATCATGGTCAACATTTTTAAATAGGGGCATGGCTGATGTAAAGAGATATTGTGAAGGGTTATTCCAAAAAACCACAAAGCGAGGTGAAGACGGAAAATACATCAGCTTGGCTCATCGCTGAAAAGTGGCTTTCCACAGTTCTACAGGGGTCTACAGGGGACAGTTCCCTGCAAAAGGAATATAACAGAGTTTAATCAGGATTTAAAACAATTGGGTACATGACGAAACTCAACTGCAACCTATCTTATGACTGCACCTACAACTACTTCCTGCCGCATCATGCATTGATAAGAACAGATCACCTCTACGAAGAGCCGCGTAGTGTACAAAGCATCCAGTCCGACTGAAAGTGGGAACAGTTTAAACGACGTACTTCACTCCGGACCTGATTTACAGTCTGACTTGCAGACATAAATAAAATGTCCCAGCAATTTCATAACATGATCACACTAAACTCCGGACAATAGTATATCGTGGCAGCGTAATCCTACCAATAAGTCTATATGAGCTGAAGATAGTTACTTCCGTGATAAACTGTACTCAGCTACACGGACTTTAACACAGCTAGCTGAAAACGTTAAAAGTACGAATCTCATAGCGTAGAATATACCACGTAGATGAATGTATGTCGATGATGTTCTTGCTGGAGGTCATAACATCGAGGATGCCGTAATGGCAATGAAATATCTCATAGCGTAGAATATATCACGTAGATGCATGTATGTCGATGATGTTATTGCTGGAGGTCATAATGGCAATGAAATATCCCAAGTCTTGGAGTAAGCCAGCTTTCCATGGAGCAAGTAGACCAGTAATAGCGTATCAGTATTTAAAAGCATTTAAAAAAACACTTGCTGAAAAAAGACTTCCTGGAACTCCTGGAGAGTACCACCACCATGAAGACCTTAGGCATCCAATGGAACGCACGTTCCGACTATTTCTATTTCACTGAAAACCCAATAGAAAACTGTTAAAAAACAAGACTAGTGATACTTTCCGCTAGTTCAGTTAGCAAGCGAAAGAACAGATAAAATTCGACGACCACTAATTTTTCGTGAGCATCTTCTCGGGACGCACGCTATACTTTGCGTCTTGTCCGCCTTCGCCGTAAATATGCCATTATTGCATCGATATTTATGAATGTATTAGTATATGCTATGGGGTGTAAAAGAATGTAGTCAAGCTTCTGGGTATGCTGTTATAGTTGCGAGGCTATACTCAATTCCTACTCTTGCGTCCACATCGCGCCCCCTGGAAACGTGAGCAACCCTTGTGCAAGATACGGTAACCAACCCGTGTGGAGCCTTGGGCCACGGCTAATGATAGAGGAAGCTTCAGTGGTCTGCTGAAGTCTAATTGCAGCGTCTGTTCACCAGAGGTGCGGCTGCGAGCGAGCGTCGGACTTGAAGCAAGCGGGTCGCTATATAAATGAGTAAAAAAAAAACTTAGAAACCAGCTCCAATTAAAAATTTGGCAACGCCTCGGATGAGATATCCCCTTTCTGTTGACGTCCCCCGCAAACGAATTCAGGATTTGAGGGCATACACCTGGAATGTCCGGTTTCTTAATTGGCCAGATGTCGCTGCCCACCTGGTTTAGGTCCTCGTAAGACTAAAGGCTGACATCACCGCCGTTCAAAAACGGACAAGGACGAAAGCGAGTTGGTTTTTTTGACTTTTGTTACAGCGGCCATACAAAGGAGCGCAAATTTGGTGTTGGATTTGCGTTGGGGAGAGACTCCGTCGTCGAGTACTGGCATTCACCCCGGTGGATGAGCGTCGCGCTACAATCCGCTTCAAAGGGACATTTTTCAACATATCGCTGATTTCCGCCTACGCCCGACGGAAGAGAAGGACGATTTTGCCACATATGCGTTTTATGAGTGCCTAGAGCATACTTACGAGCGCTTCGCCCGACACAATGTGAAAATCGTACTTGGCGATTTTAAGTACAGGGTGGGCAAAGAAGGTATCTTTAGTACGACTGTTGGACAATTCAGCCTTCATAACAAAACATCCCCTACTGGGTTAAGACTGATCGACTTCGGCGGGGCCCGAAATATGGTTGTCTGTAGTACTAGATAACAGCACAAAAAAATACATCAAACTACTTGGCTGTCCCCTGATCGAAAAACACAAAGCCAGATCGATCATGTTGTGATAGACGGAAGACATGTCTCCAGTGTTCTTGATGTGCGTACACTCTGAGGACCCAACATTGACTCGGACAATTATCTTGTTACAGCGAAGATACGCATGCTCCTCTGCCGAACGATTTTCTACTCGACTTACACTCCTGCTCTCTGAGAGCACTCATCCGCAACTCGGTATACGGGAACCGTGGGACGGCATTTCAAGCTCCCTACGTACAGCTGCAAACGAAACTATTGGATTTCGTAAAGGTCGCTAAAACAGCTGGTACGATGAGGACTGCCGTGTCGCTGTGGAGAAAAAACAGACTGCATACCTCGCAACGTTGCGATCGACCACACACGTGCGGGATGGGATAGATACCGAGAGATTAAGAGGAAATCAATACGCTTATGCAGAAAAAAAAGAAAGAGACCGAGATGCTCATTCGCCCGCTTAAAAATCAATAAAGCGGCGGGAGTTGACGGCCTTCGGACAGAACTATTCAAACTTGGCGGTGAAGAGCTGACAAGGTGCACGCATCAGCTACTTTGCAGAAAATGGTCGGACGAAAGCATGCCCGACGATTGAAATTTAAGTGTACTCTCCCAAATCCATAGAAAAGGGTACCCACAGCCTGCGTCAATTATAAGCAGCCTTTATATCGCCTTTAAGGTCATGTCAAGCGAATTAATTTGCCGATCCGCGTTTTTACACGTCGACACCGATACGTATGATACTGAGTTGGATGCATATCTGGAAACTATGTTGAGCCCTTCCTAACATCTTCGGACCATTTTTGGCCCAGATCACGATCTTCGGATACGTCTTTCCGAATCATGCAGAGCATGAGGGAAAAATATATATAGACGTTTATAAATAAATAATTAGATCTTGCAATAAAAAAATGCTTGTTTTTTTTTATTAATCTTATAAAAAAATAAATGAAATAAAGCACTAAAATTTCGCACACGAACATTTCTAATGTTAATTAAATTTTCTTTCATGCCTTTTACTCCAGCAACAGGTTTCTCAACGAGAACGCAAGAAAACAATACATTAAAGTTTACATTGTAAGTGGAAATGATGGTTGGGTCGCGATTGTGGACCGGTCTTGCGTATCGCAACGAGCTCGGTATGTTTAGGCCCAAAGCTCAATTTATACCATCCAGTTCTTTAGTTAAGATTTCATAACACTAATTACGGTTTTATATTAAAAAGAGTTGGAGGGAATCTATAGAATTTCCTTTCGGCATTGCAATTTTACCACTTCAAGCGAATACACACGAAAGTTCCCGAGGTTTCCTTTTGTCACCATCGATTTTAAGCGAATCCCAGCCATCACGTCCAACAGCCCGCATAATAATTGTAAATGGTATATTCAAAACCAATTTAATAAAGAAATGTTTCAACTGAACAAAAGCTATAATTGCTTCTTAATTGTTTCTTTATTTCCTTTTTATTGTATACACCGGCGGGCTCTGCTGACACGACGATGTATTTAGTTGTGAAGTTTCTCGGCTAGACTACGCTGAGCGGTTGGCCAAAATAGCAACTCGCTACTTCTTCTATTACAACAAATTTATTAGCTCGGAGGCTCACTTATATTCACAAGATTCTACTTCGTAGAAAAAACCGGAGGAAATTCCTCCGCTAGCTTTCCTTTCGGTAAGATGGAATCTCTTTGCCAAATATATTCTACTTGCTAATATCTCCGATACTCTGATACTTCAACTCATTCGGATCGCATAGATGATACTCCCTCAACTACTCTTAGTTCGACTCGGTGAAAAACCTTGTCGAATATACAATAAATAAGTATGCACATACATGTTAACAAAATTAAAAATCATCTGATGCTTAGATATAATAATAATAGACAAATACATGTATCTGTATGAACATATGGAAGAGTTCAATATAGTTACATACATCTTATATGTTTTCTTATGTTATTGTAAAGATTCCAACTTCTAGGATTTTGGTGACACTATTTGTGAGACGAGTAACGTGTTCATCTTTTAACCGAATCGGTTGGATAGACAATTTGCTTATCCTCCGGGCTAATCATCTGAACGCTGTGTCGAGAAAAATGCATTTAAAAACGGCTCAGTGCGTACTAGTATGAGACGCCCATGTATAGGATCTATAACCCAATATTTCGAATTTCGTTCTCCGCTGTATTCTGAATAAATGAATAGTCCTTTAGAAAAATTCGATTTTCCCAAGCCATGTCACCTTAACTAAACGGACACGAAGTCAGCAGAGCAACAAATAAATAGCCAATCTAAAAAAGAAAACAACAATCAACCACACAGCAGTCAACATATTAATATCTACCAACATAAATTGGAATTCATACGGTTTCTAGTAGATTATGTTATAGATGGTATACTCCTGTCAGAAACGTTTCTGGTAGACAAATATAATTTTTAGGTTACAGAGCTTATATTCTATTCCACAACCCACCACGAAGGTCATGCAAGAAGCCATTTCAAACACCAAGTCTTACAGTCATATGCCGCCAATTTTATCTATGGATTCGAATAATTAAGGCAAAGAGCTAAAATTCAGTCGCTTATTGCCCTCCACCATTTAAAACTATCGAAAATCAATCGAGATATTTTGCGTTGTCCCAGGGGATAGATTAATAGCCAGAGGTGACTAAAATGCAAAGAACATTTATTGGAGGACTGAACTACGAGTAATAAACCCAAAAGGACATAAATTACACAATACTATTTTAAATAAACGTAAAAATTTAGGATATATTCCTCCTTGTCCACCAACATATACGCCCAATGATCAGAGAAAAATACCCTACTTAAGGACTTCGCTGTTTCAAGAAAAATTTACCGACAGTTTGTATCAGCTATGACTGTGGCTTACTTATTTTCCAACCATTCAAAAGTCTTTATGAAAATTTACGAGCTACCGATGATAGTTGACCTAGAAATACAAAAAGCATTTATAAGTTATCATATTATCATAACATAAACCTAATATTGACCAGTAAAAATGAAATTGATGACCACAACATTCACGCCTGTGAAGTAATCTTAGCAACTCCAAAGAGAAAATTATTACTATGAGTCTAAAGGCTATAACGCTTAGTAGAGCAATAAAACAAAGTCTTACAGCCAAATGACCCAACTAATACTATTATTTTATCGGTATTAAAACATCAAACACCTTGCAATAACACTGCACTCTGAGCTCTTTACTAAATTAAGTTACTTTCCAAACACATGAAGATATCACTGATAGTGTTGGCAACCAAACCAGGTAAATACCACACACATGCGTCTTCTTACCAAAAAGTCTACTGACCATGAAAAATGCCCCAAAAACTGAGATTAATTTACTTCTCCTTGAAAAATGTCTGTCGCACTGGAGAATCAAAGTGAATGAGCAAAAGTGTAAACACCTTATATTAACAATACGCCCACAAACATGGCCTGCAAAAAGTTTAATATATGACCCACGCAAATTATGTAATAACTGAATGTTCGAAAATTTTCCAGCCTAAATGCTAGTTGGTCATCTGATTCTGATGCTGGTAGTGTGCTTTTCATCCGTTCTTCAGGTATAGATCGGTACATTGCTTGTCGCTTTGGTGGCAAAATCGTAAGGAAATGCAGCGCAAAATGCGTTGGAATTTCTGAGATCTCAATTAGAAATCCCAATTTACAATATATCCGATCCGAATTGTTAATATTGTAACGAGTTTCGTAAACAGCGTCGAATATTTCCCAAATTAATCGGATGCGATCACTAGATAGCGAAATAAAAATCCAAGATTTGTTTTGTCATCTTTTAGTTTTCAAGAATTTACTTAACATTTATTAACTTCTCAACTCTATACTATTCTCTTTCTATACAATGTATACAACGGCTTATTTTAGAAAAGTTTATAATCATAGTCAAATATTCGGAAAAATGGTTCTTATTTGGATATTTTCTGTCCGACTGTTCTCTATTTAAGTCTGCCTCTATCTTTCGTCTGTCATTCGCATTTGGGTATTTTAAATCACAATATTGAAGGTGATCACAAATTTGACTAGCAAACTTTTGAGTGAGAAAATCAACGTTCGAGATTTGTTGAAATCGATTTTAAGTCCACTTACGAGTAACTGGCTAGTTTAAATGTGAGAACTTCTAACTACACTTTCCGTAAAACTTATGCGCCATCTCGAAAAACTATTTGAACAGTTCTTTAAAGTTTTTCTACTTAACTTAAATTTTTGTATTAAGTTGACTTTTTGACCGTCCTCCTGTTATATATTTGTCTATATTGTTTTAACTGACAATAAAATACATAACACTATTCGAAAAGCGGTCCCAAATATAAATATACGCACAACATCGTCAGCTCAATTTTTTTAAATTCGTACATCATCATTAACTCAAAACGTCATCAATCATTCGCTCTTTTCGTTTTACTTGAAATCAGCATTAACTTGTTTCGCCAATATGGAATGACAGTGTGGCCATCTATAGAAAACAACAGCTTTGCTAAAGATCATGTATAGTTTATCAAACAAAGAACATACAGGCAAATATTCATTTTTATATATAGAAGTAATAAAGTAATTGCAACTTTTTTATTTTCTTTGACTGATTTCAACAACTCAACTAATTAATTAAGGTTCCCGCTCAAAGACAATAAACTTACAGAATAATGGCAATCAAGGAATGGATAAAATGTTTTTGAATAGCTCGGCCGGTAATCCCTCAGTCAAATTGTTATTTTTCAACTTCTTCAGTCGGGCAATAAAAAATGTGTTCCATCGTCATCGATTGGTGAATCAGACTCGCAATCTCCTGATGTTCCACTGGCGCTACCATTCAGCAGGGCGGAGAAGTACTCCCTCCATAAATTCAGTCACTAGATCATCTTACAGTCTTGAATTTTCTATCATTTGCCTTGTCGGCCAGCTTCTCAAGTTCTTCATACTCATGCGTTTCGGCCCCCTTTTCTTTTTTTGTCCGCAAGCTCATCTGCTTTCATCTTTAGTTCTCGCTATCTTTCCCACCCTACGCACATGTAGTCGCCGATCGTAAGGTAAGGTAAGCATTCTGCTTTCTTTCCACAGTGGCGCTGCAATCCTCATTGCAACAGCGGTTTGTTGCCCTTTCCGAGAACCGAGAGTTTTGTTTGTAGCTGTTTGTTGAGTGGAAATCTTTTTTACTTGTCTTAAATTGTTTTTAAGTTATATACATTTTTTACCTTAAATATTTTCATTTTTTAGATTATAAAAATTTGAACTTTCAAACATTCAGATGTCAAATAAATTGGATTAAAAAATAAAAATTAAGTTTTCATTAATATAAATATATAGATATATCCATATATATGTATCTAAAGTAGGAATCTTGAAATTTTATTCCACGGTTACCTTATATCGGTTCACTGATGAGTGCTTTCAGAGAGTAAGAAGGCAAGTCGAGTAGAACACCATTCTGACTGTTGTGATTGCAGTTTTTTGACGTCGTTACTTTTTCGCTGTTGTTGAAATAATAATATTAACGAGCATATGTTTATTATTATTTTTTTTTTAGCATACGAGAACGATTTGAAAACATGAAAGATTCTTCGCTGAACACTGAAGCAACCAGACCACGGTATAAAGTTAACCGTTTTGTGGTTAGTAAATATGAATGAGCACGTGAATGTATATAATATATGTTTTTCAAAATTATTTTTAGTAATGATTCAAAGCGCAGTCAACTTGTTAATCAATCATCTTTTGGAATATATTGTAGTAAATATTGGTGATGAAGTAAGTCCAGCGATTTTAATTCAATATTTAAAACAGTTACCGATCAATAAACAAAAATTGTATGCAAATAAAAGTCACAGATCTTTTTTGTCTATTTAATCATTTTATATTATTTTACATAACACTGAAAAAATTTGAATTTAACTCTACTTTTTGAGCACAATCAGTATTAAGTTTTGGCATAAGTGTAGAGGGTAGAGAAAAATTATGGTATGACAATGTTGGCAATAGAGATACGTTCAGAAGCAATAAACAAAATAATTACTGGGTGCACGTTAGGTGGGCGTCAATATTTGTTTCTCATACAGTTGAGCTGATGTGGCTGCTAATCACAGCGAGCAGCGATACTTTTCACTTTCTTCGATGAACAAGTAATTTCGTGTGTCTTATAAATGTTGCAAACTAGTACTTAGGGGTCAATAGTGACAAAGATCGTGATGTACTGACTCTTCCTCTTTTTCGTCTGTGCAGCTTCGACAAAAATCATTGGAAAAGTATCCCATCCCTCCTGACTTAAATTCCCATTAAAACGATTCCANAGTTTTCATTAATATAAATATATAGATATATCCATATATATGTATCTAAAGTAGGAATCTTGAAATTTTATTCCACGGTTACCTTATATCGGTTCACTGATGAGTGCTTTCAGAGAGTAAGAAGGCAAGTCGAGTAGAACACCATTCTGACTGTTGTGATTGCAGTTTTTTGACGTCGTTACTTTTTCGCTGTTGTTGAAATAATAATATTAACGAGCATATGTTTATTATTATTTTTTTTTTAGCATACGAGAACGATTTGAAAACATGAAAGATTCTTCGCTGAACACTGAAGCAACCAGACCACGGTATAAAGTTAACCGTTTTGTGGTTAGTAAATATGAATGAGCACGTGAATGTATATAATATATGTTTTTCAAAATTATTTTTAGTAATGATTCAAAGCGCAGTCAACTTGTTAATCAATCATCTTTTGGAATATATTGTAGTAAATATTGGTGATGAAGTAAGTCCAGCGATTTTAATTCAATATTTAAAACAGTTACCGATCAATAAACAAAAATTGTATGCAAATAAAAGTCACAGATCTTTTTTGTCTATTTAATCATTTTATATTATTTTACATAACACTGAAAAATTTGAATTTAACTCTATTTTTTGCGCACAATCAGTATTAATTTTGGCATAAGTGTAGATGGTAGAGAAAAATTATGGTATGACAAGGTTGACAATAGAGATACGTTCAGAAGCAATAAACAAAATAATTACTGGGTGCAGGTTAGGTGGGCGTCAATATTTGTTTCTCATACAGTTGAGCTGATGTGGCTGCTGATCACAGCGAGCAGCGATAAATGTTGCAAACTAGTACTTAGGGGTCAATAGTGACAAAGATCGTGATGTACTGACTCTTCCTCTTTTTCGTCTGTGCAGCTTCGACAAAAATCATTGGAAAAGTATCCCATCCCTCCTGACTTAAATTCCCATTAAAACGATTCCAGTTATTATACCGGTTGTTGTATTGATAGTTAACCGGTCTAAGAGGATTAAAAATCCTGAACTTAAGCCATCTGGTATTGACTGATTTGACGAGTTTTGACCTAGATAAGGGTATGCCAGTGACGTGCGTAAAATTTATTGCAGTTAATCTCACTATCTCATCCGCGAAATAATTGCCTGGTTTGACTCTATGTCCGAGCCTCCACGGTTGTAATGCATCTAGCCGAGAGCTTGTTCAAAGTACTTCTACATTGTAGAGCCATTTCTTATGTGGTGTAATTACTTTGAAGAGTATATAGTTAGAATTGATTAGTTTGCAACCAGAGATCCTAGCAATCATTTTGCAGCCATAGTGATAGCAATGAATTCTGTAAAAAATTAAAACTGGTTGAGAAAGTTGGTGAGTGAACTCCAAAGCTTACCCTTTCATCGAATCATCCGTTAAGACTATGCCACTCTGATGCAAAGCATTTGTTTATTTACTTATTTAATTATTTTTCACTTTTTGTACTTAAATATTATTATTCTTTATTTATTCTTTTTATATTATATTTTTTAACTATGTCCTGTACCTCTCTTAACTGTGCTATTAGAGGTGAGCTTGAGCGTTTTTTCGCTTGTTGGTTTATAATGTCCGTCCGACATAAATATTTATTGTACAAAATACATAAAGCTCTGCGTGCTCAATTTTATATGATACTTAAGTCATATCTGACTAACAGACAATTTACCATTAAGAAATCTGAATTTATCAGTGAGGAGTATCCGGTAAAAGCTGGTGTTCCGCAGGGTCGCGTTCTCGGGCCTATTTTATATATCATATACACTGCAGACATCCCGTTAAACCAAAAAGTGCAGACGTAACACAGCTATTTTATGCCGAGCTAAATGCCCTAAAAGAGCATCATCATTTACTCCTCATCGAAGAATGGCTAGAAAACTGGAGAAGTAAAGTTAATGAACAAAAGTGTAAACACGTTACATTTACTTTAAGACCGCAATCATGTCCTGCAATTCGCTTAAATGGTATAAACATTTCCCAAGTAAATGATGTTACATATCTCGTTATACACTTGGATAGACGTCTCACTTGGAAGAGACACATAGAGGCAAGAATACTACACACGAAATTAAAAGCAGCTACACTAAGATAAACGTCTCACTTGGAAGAGACACATAGAGGCAAGAATACTACACATGAAATTGAAAGCAGCTAGTTTAAATTGGCTTTTAAATAAAAATACCGGTCTAAAACTAAACTTTAAAGTCCTTATTTTCAACGCAGTATTAAACCAATTTGGATGTATGGTATTCAACTGTGGGGTACGACCTGTACAGTGAATATTGATAAAATCCAGAGGTTCCAGTCCAAAATCTTAAGGGCACTAACGGGTGCACCATGGTACGTTCGTAACGTAAGTATTCATTAAGACCTTGGTATTTTAGTGGTTAAGCCTGAAATTGAAAAAAGCAGGACGAAGTACTTCACAAAGCTGAGAAAGCATCCAAATGCGCTAGCTAATGCTTTATGCAACCCATCGAAAACTCTCGCCTGCTGCGAAGAGTCATCTAAATAGTGCGCCGTAGTAGGGCTCCTAGTTAAATAACTCGAGCTATCATGTTTGTAATTCAGTTTTTAAGATTTGTACCCTCGCATACTTCTAATTTGGTTTTTTTAGCCTCTCGTCACCTTGCCCCCATATAAAGAAGCCTTCAACATCTAAAGGGCAAACTAACGCTCCACTAAATGCGCCTGAGTCTCAATGTGGTACTGCTCCGGTTGCACTAGCACCATTAGCCATTTTGAAAAACTGGTTGTTGTTCCCACAAAAAAAAGCATGTTTTTATTTCTAGATTCGCCAAGATACTACAAGCGAGAAGTATAAAGACTTGCATCACTACAAAAATTAAATCTGATGACGTAACAGTGAGAAAGTTTAAATTCAAGTATGAAAGGTCTTGATAGTATTGGCCTGCCAGAGGATTTCTGCGAGAATTTCAGCATACTGGTATTAAGCTGGATGAAGAAAATATTTCTAAATTTCCTCACAAAAAGCGAGAGTCAAAAAACTAAACAAAGATATCTCTATAAGTGTCTATTATCAAAATGTTCAATGTATTAATAGCAAGCTAACTGACTTGCACCTAAGTCTTCATTGTAATTTTAACATAACATCATTTACCGTTTCTGATAATGATATTTTAAATAAGGAGTATCAAATTTATAGAACTTATCAATTAAACAGAACCGGAGGTGAGGCTCTACTCGCCGCTCATTCTTCAATTCCTTCTGAAGAAGTTATTGTTCCTGTTGTAGATTCCGTCGAACTTAAATGCATACAAGTGCTTTATGCTAACTGTATATAACTAGTTTTGACCAAAAGCATTCGGCACCCCACTAGAATAAAACTATTCTCAAATGCGGCTATCAAAGTTTCAGCGATACTATTTTAGACGGGCTTCTATTTCAGCGAGACAATGCTACTTGTCACAAATCAGCGACTACGATGCGTTGGTTTAGAGTTAACAACATTGTTTGGTTAGATTGGCTTGCACAGGCTCTAGGTCTTAATTCCATTGAGCACCTGTGGGATTTTTTAAAACGCAAGATTAAGGAACACAGTACGCTATAAGTGCGGACGAACGTGCAAAGCTTGCAGCATGCCTAAGAGAACTGCTGCCGTTACTAAATCGAACGGTGGACCTACTAAATATTTATGTTATTATCACTAATTAATTGTATTTTCACCTCCTTACTAACAGAACTTCATTACATCACTTGTTGAAACAAAAAATTCAGTAGTTTGTGGGGTGCCTAACACTTTTGGCCAAGGCTGTACATATATAGCTCTTTCTTATATACCTCCCCGGTCGGAAGATTTAAAAATGTAATCTCGTTGGTAAAACATACGATACTTTGATTGTTTTGGAAGACTTCAATTTCTTATGTATTTCATAGAAATCCGTTAACGATAATATTACCCAAATTTGTAATCTAGTCTGTGTAAATGAATTCTTGAAAGAACTGTCCTACTTAAGCCTTAATCAAATTAATTCAGTTCCTAACCACTTTTGTTAGCCTTGGTGTTTGTTGATAAAGCTTCTGCCAAAGGCTGTGTATCACCATGCTTTGGAGATTATGTTTGAAATCGGATGAAAACTTGTGGCTGATAACTCTACGCTTATCTCTCGATTCAAATTTGCGAAAGCTTATTTTAAGAAAATTTAATCAGAAGCTCTCTTAATTTACTTGGCCACGTTATACTTATAATATTCAATCAAGTGTCTTACATGTTAACGGTACCATTATTTCTATTTTTGAAAAATGAGTACCTAAAAATCTTGGACATAAAATAAAGCACATGAATTAATTGTTTACAAAAGAGGTATACTACTTAAGGAATAGAAGGTCAAAAGCTTTTCAGACTTTCAAGGAAAGTGGTCTACACTTGCGTTACTTAAAATACTCGTCCCTTCGCTGAAAATTACTTGAGCTTATCAAAAATGTTATAATGGTTACATAACTAAAGTTAAGAAAAATATTTTACACAATCCAAAGCTGTTCTACGGCTTTGTTAACTTTTATCCTGAGCTTTCAGCCCTTCCGTCCGCCATGAAAAACAAATCTGATGAATCTAAAACATTCTTCCAGTTTTGGCACAGATATGATACCTACATGCTTTCTGAAAAGATGTGCAAAAAATCTGTTTTTGCCTTTTAATTACTCTCTTAAACATGGTGTGTTCCTTTGATATGGAACCAGTATTTTATAATCTCTTAATATATAAGAGGTTATAGGACTAACATTGAAAATTATAAAAGTATTGCAAAAATATCCGCTATACCAAATCTGTTTAAGACAATCATTACTAGTCAGATAACATTTTCAATCTCCTCACTACTATCCAATTCAAAACACGGGTTTCGTAGAGGAAAATCAGCACATACAAATTTGCTTGAAACTGTGTATTATATCTATAAAACTTTGAAAGATAATAAGCCAACTAGCGTTTACTTTAGTAAAGCATTCGATAGAGCTAATCATTCAATTCTCCTCCATAAACTAGATCTTCTGGGCTTTCAGCCAAAATTTCTTCAATGGGCTTCTCGTATCTCTGCAGTGTGTGACATTTAAAGACACTTTATCGCAATTATGTCTCATCAGGAGTTCCTCAAGGTGGCTGTCTCGGCCGGATTCTGCTTCTATTATTCATAAATGAAATATCTTCGGTAATAAAGCATTCAAATATCTTGTTATATGCCGATGATGTAAAACTTTTCATGTGATATACCTCATTCGACGAAAGATCTTTGTTACAAAAAGATCTCGACAATTAAGCTACATGGTGTAACAATAATGAGCTGCCTTTGAACCTTATGAAGTGTAAGACAATGTGATTTTCGCGGAGACTTTGTTTATGTGTGAAATTCTGAGCAGTAGCCATAACATTCACTAACAGATGTCTCTGCTTTTTTTCTTGTGCACCTGACTCTTCAAATTTACAATAAGAGTCCTGCTAGTCCCATTTCAGATTTCCACCTTCTGTGCAAGTCTTTAAGACACCCTTTTTGCCGCCCCGTTGTCCTAAAGCCGCGAGTGTATTCTGTTATTCATTTATGTTCATTTTATATTTATATACGCTTACATATGTATGTATATATCATTAATTTGTTATTGAATTGCATTGTGTTAAAAAAGTCTCAGCTTCTTATTATTTGAGAATTTTGCGATAAAAGTAGTTTTTAACAGATTACTGAAGGACCGGCATCTATCCCGATCTTCTTCACCGCAACTCAAGAAAAATTCCGTTCCCCAATAACCCCGAAGGTCCGTCGAGCCGGAACTTTCAGGAAATAAAAATCATTTCTCCTTTACAAAAAATAATATTACTCTCTTGTTAAATATTTATCTAGTTGACAAAACAATAATAAAACATATTTTCCAAGTCGCTCTTATAAACAAAATATATTTATATTTTTTTTAATTTATTATTCTCCTGAAAGTAAGACATAATTTTTTACCTTTGCCTTACAAAAAAAATTGTTTCTTTGCGGAGTGGTGCAGTCTTTGCTAGGAATTTTTAAGTTTTGAAACCGAGTGGCGTAATCTTCTTCATATAACGCTAAAACCAACACCTCAATCCAGTGGAATGGAACAATGCCAGAAGCAGTAATTTCCGGTAATATTCTTTACAGAACAAAAATGGGACCCTTTTTTCATCCGGCCACATGGGACCGTCAGGTAACATTTATATTTTTGAGCATCAACCGAAAATTGTTGAAAAATTTCTGTTAAAGAACCAACAGAAATGCCTGTGTTGAACGGCGGCACACAACATCAAGTAATAAAGAGGCGCAGGAGTCTGGAGGCCTCGGAGAAACAGGAGGGTAGCCGAAGGATTGAGGTAAACGTCTAGGGTGTTATTTTTTTCCAGCAACCGTGAATTGTAGAAAAATTCCGGATGAAAAATATATATGTAATGCGGCCGCCGAGGCCGAGTGGTAAGCATTGCGTACTGATATTCGGAAGGCTCTGGTTCAAATCCTGGTGTCGTACTAACAAACAAAAAGTTACAGTAAAATAATATAAATAAAAAATTAAGCTAAATTTTCTAATTGACTGCAGCGCCGTCTGCCGGAAATCTATGTAAAAGATTGTGATATCAACAATATCTGGCATGACTGCCGTCTGCCGGAGCTCTATGGAAAACGTTGTAATATCAGCAATATTTGGCATGACTGCAGCGCCTTTTACCGGAAGCCTATGTAAAACACAGTACTATGAACAACAATTTATAAATAAATAAATTCATTGTTGAAAAAATTTCAAGTTGATCGGATTCTGAATATAAACCACCCTCAACCCCCTTTAAATAAACGCAAACAATTTCATCAAAATCGGTCCAGCCGTTTAGAATCGGTTCAATCACAAACAATTAAATTTTCTGGCCTTGAAACAAGAGGTCTGATTCTCCCTGTTAACTGTTATCCACTTTCAACATCCCGCTAATCTATCCATACAACATTTTATAGTTAGGGTCGGGTTCTGCCTATATCCTTAGAACCATTTGTGTGCACTAGTTTTCCAGATGCTTCAGTCATGGGGGTAGTTCAGCTTATAAGAAAAAACCTGCACACATGAATGTTAAATAAAAGAAATCAAGCCCGCTAAATTTGTAGATAATGCCATACAAATGTTTTAGCAGCCACTGAGGTTGTTTTCGCTGCTCCGAGCCCACCTTACCAATGGTTTCATTGTTGTAAAAGAAACCCCTTTTGACGTGTCAACAAAACATTCAATTTCAGACCACTGGTTTCATATTTAAGAATTCATCATCATGATTTGATTACTAAATTGAACAAAGAGTGCTAATAACTATTAATTTAAACGTAACATAATTTTTTTTTTTTGGAATGGCAAGTAATTATATAATGCATAATTCCAATTATTAAGACTATTTTTAAATACAATTTTTAATTTTATTTTAATTTATTTGCTATTATAGTCAATTGTTAACAACCCATTGCAAAAAGTAAGTTTGAAAAGGAAAAGTTGAGCAAGTAAAGAAACTGAAACATATGCATGAATAAAAAAAGTTCAATATTTAAATTCTTATATCCATGAATATTATCAAAAAAAAATGTCATAAAGGAAAAAATTAATATTTGGTAGTTTTACTTACATAAGTACATACTTAAATACTGCTTCGAAAGCCTTCTTTGAGTCTCGTCGTATGCTACTGTTATTGTATAGCTTTTAGAAATTAGTATTTAATTAATATTAGGAAAAAGTTTATTTATATTGTTGCGAAAATGCGAGGCGAATGTCAGATGAAAGAGAGAAGCCGATAACTAGTACCTTCTAGAAACGATAAATCGAAAACCTTCGATAGAGAACAACTCGAGTATTCTACACTTTCGTCTACGAGCAGCCGACTGCTTTATAAGGGCGACACTCAGCTGCCCAGGAAGTTAGTTACAAAGTGAACTCGTTGGCGGAGTAAACGCGTTGGAGATTACATTTAAGTAAAGTAAATTGTGAAAGTTGATGCTAGTGATTGTAAATAGTGTAGTTTACCCCAAATAAAACAAGCACACGCTTTTACTTCTCACATTGAACTAATCTTCTTTATTTTATAAATCTCCTTAGGAGCATATGTATATTTATAACGAGTCATGAGCATCTTAAGTCTAACGGCATCATATTTACACAAACAAGCCTATACATGCCTGCACATACATACAAATATAACAATANAATATTGGCTTACAACTTGTAATTATAAAATTGAAATATCTTACATATTCATCTACCAACTGAACGCTCTTCTTCCGGTCTGGACACTCAAAAACACGATGGTTCATACTTCCGCATGCATAACAGGCCCCTTTCTCCCTCTTAGGCTTCTTACATTCAGCTGCCAGATGACCACGCGAGTTGCAATTGTAACACCTAGTTTCACGCTGTGTAACGCCAATCGGAAATTTTTCGCCCTTCATTTTTATTTTCGTAAACGCTTGCAAAAATTGTGCCTTTGTGGAATAACATTGCATGTACGCCTGTGTGCGAAGCTGCTCATCAGTAATTCCTTCAATAGTATATTCTATCAACTCATCTTCAGTTAGCTGCATTGGTTCTGACAACAAAACTTTGTCGTGAAATAATCAATAAAAGCTTCTCCAGTCTTCCATTTCCTTGCCTCGAACTTTCTTTTTAACTGTAACTTGCTTTCTTTGCTCCGAAAAATATCCTTCATTTCCATAATAAGTAAGTCAACGCTGACAATAGCAAAATTAGGTTTTGAATGTATCCACTGTAGTGCTTTACCCTTAAGTTTGCTAAGTAATAGCATTCGTTTATTATTTTCACTTAGTGCATATACGTTGCAAACATTTTCCCACTGGGTCATCCACACGTCACTATTAATGTTTCCATCAAATTCTGGCAAAATGCTCGAAAGCATTTCCTTCGAAATTTTCGACTCGCCAATTTCCGCCTGAAGCTGCGCTGATACGCTGACTGCTCTGCTCTCGACTTCTGCCATTCTTTGAAGAAGTTCGGTTTCGCGTTTTAAAATATCAATTTCGCGTCGTAGGAACTGTACCTCTCGCTCACTATCTGCATTGTCAACGCTGCTACGTTGTTCGTTAATGCCACCACTGTTGTTGTTGCTATGCCCATTCAAATCGAGTTCGTTGTTGCTTTTGCCGCGCTCTTCGCTTTGGCCGTCATTACCATTCTCGTTAATGTTGTTGTTGTCTACGATTTGCGAATTTACTGCTGCTACACTCAGCATCGCCTGTGATTGGTCAGACGTTTGTGTGTCAGCTTGTGTTTCCACAATATTTTCGTCACACCCAGTAGGACATACGCCTCGTTCATTTTGTGGCACGGAACTGATGCGTATAGCTAGTGCACTTTTGGTGCCGCTGGTTGGCAACGATAATTTACGCAACCAGGCGCGCAACTGTGCAACAGTATATTCTTCTGCACATACAAGTTCTTCCGTTTTTTTTTTTATTTATAACAATTTCTATCAATTTTTCACACTTTCTATTTTTTCAGTTCTTTTAAAATTTACGCACACTTTTTACTATACTTTATTTTACTGTCTTTTTGAAATAAAAAAAAAATTTTATTTGCCAGGATCTACTGCGAGGTTTTACGAATCTCGCTTCTGATTTTGTAGTTTACCCGAAATAAAACAAGCACACGCTTTTACTTCTCACATTGAACTGAACTTCTTTATTTTATAAATCTCCTTAGGAGCATATGTATATGGTGCACATATATTTTTACACATACCTACAAGTACAACAATCAATGGTACATGCAACATATATGTATATGTATAACGAGTCATGAGCATCTTAAATCTAACTGCATCATATTTACACAAACAAGCCTATACATGCCTGCACATACATACAAATATAACAATAAATGGTACATACATCATATATGTATATGTATAACGAGTTATGAGCGTCTCAAATCTAACGGCATCATATTTACATAAACAAGCCTATACATGCCTGCACATACATACAAATACAACAATAAATGGTACATACATCACTACAGTCTGACCTACTACAATAAATAGGTGGCATTTTGTTCCGATTAACAGGAAAATTACATTTCTTTTCGATAAGTGAACCCAGGACTGACCTATTAAAAAAAGTTTACTTATGGCTCGATTCGCTTGAAATTAGGTGCATGGAAGATATTTTGCTTAGATTGACAAGCAAATTTCACTTCTTTTCGAAAAAAGCTTATTTACTGCTGGATTTACTTGAATTTCAGTAAAAAAATTACAATTTGATTCGATTAACAGGAAAACAACACTTTTTCTGGGAAGTGAACCAAGGACTGACCTATACAAAAAAAGTTTACTTGTGTCTCGATTCGCTTGAAATTAGGTGCTTAGAAAATATTTTGCTTAGAATGACATGCAAACTACACTTCTTTTCGAAAAAAGCTTATTTACTGCTGGATTTACTTGGAATCCAATAAATAGATGGCCTTTTTTTTCGATTAACAGGAAAACTACACTTCTTTTTGGTAAGTGAACCCAGGAGTGACCAATTTAAAAAAAGTTTACTTATGGCTCGATTCGCTTGAAATTAGGTGCATGGAAGATATTTTGCTTTGATTGACAAACAAATTTCACTTCTTTTCGAGAAAAGCTTATTTTGCTTATATTGACAGGCAACCTACACTACTTTTCGAAAAAAGCTTAATTACTGCTAGATTTACTTGCTTAGATTGACAGGCAAACTACACTTCTTTTCGAAAAATGCTTATTTACTGCTGGATTTACTTGAAATCCATTAAAAAGGTGGCATTTTGCTTCGATTAACAGGAAAACTACACTTCTCTTCGGGAAGTGAACCCAGGCCTGAGCTTTTTAAAAAACGTTTACTTAAGGCTCGATTCGCTTGAAATTAGGTGCTTGGAAAATATTTTGTTTAGNCCTGGTAGAAAAAAGCTTATTTTGCTTATATTAACAGGCAAACTATACTTCTTTTCGAAAAGTGCTTATTTACTGCTGGATTTACTTGAAATTCAGTAAATGGGTGGCATTTTGCTTCGATTAACACGAAAACAACACTACTTTCCAAAAAATTGACCATGGACTAACTGTTGCGAAACAAAGTTTACTTATTACTTGAAATTCGGGGAATAGAAAATATTTTGCTTAGATTAACAGCAAGACAAAACTTCTTTCCTCGAAGTGAACCAAATACTAACCTATACAAAAAAAATTTACTGATGGCTCGACTTACTTGAAATCCGGTTCATAGAAGATATTTTACTCAGATTAACAGGCAATTTACACTTCTTGTCGAAAAAAGCTTACATTGACAGGTAAACTACACTACTTTTCGAAAAATACTTATTTACTGCTAGATTTACTTGAAATTCAGTAAAAGCGAGGTATTTTTTTTCGACTAAAATTAATAGAAAACTTCATTCCGGAAAGTGAACCAAGGACTTACATATTCAAAAAACAAGTTTACTTATGGCTCGATTCACTTGAAATTCGGTGCATAGAATATATTTTGCTTAGAGTGGCAACCAAACTACACTACTTTTCGAAAAAAGTTTATTTACTGCTGGATTAACTTCAATTTCAGTAAATAAATTACATTTTGATTCGATTAACAGGAAAACTACACTTTTTCTAGGAAGTGATCCGAGGACTGACCTATTTAGAAAAAGTTTACTTGAAATTCGGTGCAAAGAAGATATTTTGCTTAAAGTGACAACCAAACTACACTACTTTTCGAAAAAAGCTTTATTACTGCTAGATTTACTTGCTTAGATTGACAGGCAAACTACACTTCTTTTCAAAAAATGCTTATTTACTGCTGGATTTACTTGAAATCCAATAAATAGGTGGCATTTTGCTTCGATTAGCAGGAAGACTACACTTCTTTTCGGAAGTGAACCAAGGGCTAACATATTCAAAAAAAAGTTTACTTATGGCTCGATTCACTTGAAATTCGGTGTATAGAATATATTTTGCTTAGAGTGACAACTAAACTACACTACTTTTCGAAAAAAGCTTATTTACTGCTGGACTTACTTGAATTTCAGTAAATAAATTACATTTTGATTCGATTAACAGGAAAACTACACTTTTTCTGCGAAGTGACCGGAGGACTGACCTATTCAAAAAAAAGTTTACTTATGGCTCGATTCACTTGAAATTCGGTGCATAGAAGATATTTTACTTAGATTGACAGGCAAACTACACACCTGGTAGAAAAAACCTTATTTTGCTTATATTTACAGGCAAACTACACTACTTTTCGAAAAATGCTTATTAACTGCTGGATTTAGTTGCACTTTTCTTCGATTAACAGGAAAACTACACTTCTTTTCGGTAAGTGAACCCAGGACTGACCTATTAAAAAAAAATTTACTTACGGCTCGATTCGCTTGAAATTAGGTGCATGGAAGATATTTTGCTTAGATTGACAAGCAAATTTCACTTCTTTTCGAGAAAAGCTTATTTTGCTTATATTGACAGGCAACCTACATCACTTTTCGAAAAAAGCTGATTTACTGCTAGATTTACTTGCTTAGATTGACTGGCAAACTACACTTCTTCTCGAAAAATGTTTATTTACTGCTGGATTTACTTGAAATTCAGTAAATAGGTGGCATTTTGCTTCGATTAACAGGAAGACTACACTTTTCCTGGGAAGTGATCCGAGGACTGACCTATTCAAAAAAAGTTTACTTATGGCTCGATTCACTTGAATTTCGGTGCATAGAAGATATTTTGCTTAGAGTGACAACCAAACTACACTACTTGTCGAAAAAAGCTTATTTACTGCTTGATTTACTTGAAATCCATTAAATAGGTGGCATTTTGCTTCGATTAACAGGAAGACTACACTCCTTTTCAAAAAGTGAACCAAGGACTGACATATTCAAAAAAAGTTTATTTATGGCTCGAATTACTTGAAATTCGGTGCATAGAAAATATTTTGCTTAGAATGACATGCAAACTACACTTCTTTTCGAAAAAAGCTTATTTACTGCTGGATTTACTTGAATTTCAGTAAATAAATTACATTTTGATTCGATTAACAGGAAAACTACACTTTTTCTGCGAAGTGATCCGAGGACTGACCTATTTAAAAAAAAGTTTACTTATGGCTCGATTCACTTGAAATTCGGTGCATAAAAGATATTTTGCTTAGAGTGGCAACCAAACTTCACTACTTTTCGAAAAATGCTTATTTATTGCTAAATTTACTTGCTTAGATTGACAGGCAAACTATACTTCTTTTTGAAAAGTGCTTATTTACTGCTGGATTTACATGAAATTCAGTAAATAGGTGGCATTTTGCTTCGATTAATAGGAAAACTACACTTTTTCTGGGAAGTGATCCGAGGACTGACCTATTTAAAAAAAGTTTACTTATGGCTCGATTCGCTTGAAATTAGGTGCATGGAAAATATTTTGCTTAGATTGACATGCAAATTTCACTTCTTTTCGAGAAAAGCTTATTTCGTTTATATTGACAGGCAACCTACACTACTTTCCGAAAAAAGCTTATTTACTGCTAGATTTACTTGCTTAGATTGACAGGCAAACTACACTTATTTTCGAAAAATACTTATTTACTGCTGGATTTACTTGAAATCCATTAAAAAGGTGGCATTTTGCTTCGCTTAACAGGAAGACTACACTTCTCTTCGGTAAGTGAACCCAGGACTGACTTATTTAAAAAAAGTTTACTTATGGCTCGATTCGCTTGAAATTAGGTGCATGGAATATATTTTGCTTAGAGTGTTAACCAAACTACACTACTTTTCGAAAAAAGCTTATTTACGGCTGGATTTACTTGGAATCCAATAAAAAGGTGGCATTTTGCTTCGATTAACAGGAAGACTACACTTCTTTTCGGGAAGTGAACCAAGGACTGACATATTCAAAAAAAGTTTATTTATGGCTCGAATTACTTGAAATTCGGTGCATTGAAAATATTTTGCTTAGAATGACATGCAAACTACACCTCTTTTCGAAAAAAGCTTATTTACTGCTGGATTTACTTGGAATCCAATAAATAGGTGGCATTTTGTTTCGATTAAAAGGAAAACTACACTTTTCTTCGGTAAGTGAGCCGAGGACTGACCTATTTGAAAAAAGTTTACTTATGGCTCGATTCGCTTGAAATTAGGTGCATGGAAGATATTTTGCTTAGATTGACAAGCAAATTTCACTTCTTTTGCTTAATGCTTATTACTGCTGGATTTACTTGGAGGTGAAATTATAGAAATCGCTGAGGAGTTCATACTTTCTCTTTATCGTAAAGGAAGCGAGTATCCTTTCGATGACTTAGCGGATGTAACGATAACCACGTTTAATAGGGAAGTAATGTACGCTGAATTTCAAATCATATACGATTCTTTATCTGTATATGAACCATTTATGGTTTTTTCAAGCAGGTAAAATTGTATCCTTAAATTTTCGTAAATTCAAAATAATAAGAGAAATTGTAGAAGAATAATAATTTGTATTTTTATTTTAAAGCACAAAGAAGGTAAAGAAAAGTAA